TCTTCAAACACTTGGCCATGGCTTGTCCTTCTGTGTGCTGGGTTTGTCGCATGCCAAAGCGTTGAACTTCATTCATTCAATTGCGCCATCCCTGTCATATGCTTTGGTTAGTGGATTGCGACTATATGACATACTGTAATCCCCCGAAGGTGGCCCGTATTTAGACCCCCATCTAAAAACGACCTCTTCTTGGGGATTTGTGTCATCTACTCTGAGCCCAATCGGGTTGGTCCTCCATGAGTGCTTGGGCACCTCCTGGGCGCCTCCTGGAGCTCGTTGAAGAGGTTCCCCATACAGGTCAGTCTGGAGCTTCTCAGTGATCCCATGCTTTCCCTGCACCAGCCTCTGTACGTGTCTTCTTGCTTCGCCCAGCGGCCCAGCGTGGTTCGCCCACGGATGCGATGGGGTAAACGGCTCAACTCTCAACCTGCCACGGAAAAAAAAGAGAAAAACACATGTCACCTCACGTGGCATTGTGATCCATTGTGCCATTTCTTGGGTCCAACTTGATAAGAGCGACTTTTCTTGCAGTTCATGTCTTCTTTTTCCTGCATTCTTGGACAGCCGTTCTTCCATCAAACCACAAGCACCTCAAATATGGCTGCTTTACAACCCTTCTTTTTGTCAACCCTCACCTCCTCAAGTTCCTCCGAGCATCGAAGTTGCTCAGTTCGCCTAGCACTCCCAGTCTGGGTGCCCTGTCTGGCCTATAAGTTGGGTCCGGGTAGTCCAGCACACCCATGTCCAGGATGCTCCTGGTATATGAAGTATTAACACATCAGCTCGTTTGTAAAGAGTAGTTTCAGGAAAAACACATTTCAAGCCAGCTTGGCGCGAGCCTTTCCTTGAGCCTTTCCCCGACCCAGGTCCCGGACTCCGCGTCGCCAACATCATGCCCCGGCTGAAATGGTTAGGGCAATGGTTGACAGTTGGCAATCGGTGGCGACAAGTGATGCAAGAGCGCAACATTGCGACCGAGGTTGCTAAAGCAACGGCCTCCAACCTAAGATCGATATATAATATATATACATATATAATATATGTCACCATTGCCATGCACTCACAAACTGCATGGAGCGTTATAAGACAGTTGGAAACCAAGGTTGTGCTACCCCAAAGTTCCAATCCATCGATTCCAGATTCGGACAAGTCTTCGTGGGGGCCAACCTGGGCCAACCACTTCCTCGTTGATACTTGTTGCCCCGAAAGCGTCCGTTGATGCCCCCTTCGCCCCGGCAAACGTCGGGGTGTGCTGACCAAAGGAGCAAACCGCTCTGACTGGTTCGAACAAAACGGTGCACTTGAACGCAGCTGTTTTCGCTAGGGGGAGGTAAGACTGGGTTAAGACTGCTGCTTTGAGACGGATGAAAGTTCTTTTGGAAGGCATAGCGGAGAATTCCAAGGCTTTTTTCGAGCATTTTGGTGGCTCCAGGTCCAGTATCTCTTGGTTCAACCAGATTTCGGGGTTCTTTTGATTTTTGGTATTTTTGATCGTGGAAGAGTTGCGTGTTCCTTTTGTCACTGATAGTTTCTGACAGTCGGGGCTAGGTCCATCCTTGATGCATGAAGGTTATAATAGACGGAATCCCGACCATTGATCAATATCAAAGGGCCCCAAGGACGTGGGCCCAAGGACACCAAACTTCCAAGACGTGGGCCGGCTCTTTTCACCAAACCAGCAAGTTTGGCATGAGAGAGGATAGGAGCGTTATTTTTTGGGGGGAGATCTCAAAAACAACTCCTTCTTCAAGGCTTTTCCGGCCATGGAAGTCGACCCGATCAGTCGGCAGGTCGGTCCAGCCGAGGGGGCCTGGAAGAGGCCCGAAAGCCGAACGGGGAAGCCGAAGGGAAGGCAGCGCAGGGTGAGTGTGGTCGTTTGAGTTCACAGTACTAGACCCCAGTACTATCGACTCTATGTACTGTGGTTCTACTCTATGACACAGAGCTGTTGGGGGTTATGGATCAGGAGCATGTTTGGAGCTGGATGTCCTGGCTGGACGCCCCCAGCCACATCCCAGCCCACTACTACTATCCGGGATCTCCAGCCAGGACACCCAGACAGGATATTCCTGGTAGACTCATGAATAAAGCCTTTTCTCATTTGGATGCTAAAACCTCTTCATATTGGGGGGAGTTATTATATAAAGAGTCTGTATACATGATGCCTTGAATGCCCTTCTTGAGGACAGGAACGTCATTGTTCGGGTCGTTTGGAATGTTTGTCGGGCGAGAAAACCGTACAAAAACAATTCGAGGGGTTTGTCGGGTGAATGTAGATCTTGTAGACTTTTGAGGAATCAGAATTGTTTCACCAGAAACTTTTGGTCAGAAACTGGCGCGTTTGGGACATCATGGCACAGGGCCAAAAAATGGTGGGACAGATTAAACCTTAAACCCTGTGGGTGGGATTCTTACTCAAAACATCGCAAAGATCTTAAGGAGAAGAGTCGTTTCCAACTGGCTCATGATATCTCATGGTCATCTACTTGGATTCTAGGAGCCCACGGTACAGCCAGGGCATGTTTGACGGGAACATTCTCGTATGCTCCTTTTGATTCCGTTGGAACTTTCTAACCACGAAGTAGTCTGATCTCCCGCTGGTCTGGATCTACCGGGCCCCTTTGACCACCTTTTACCACCTCTTTTGCCTCAAAGATCGGATGGAACACGAGAGCCGCTTCCTCTCCACTAGTTCCATATCTTCTCATCGATATGGCCTGTTGATGACCAAAAACCAGGCCGGAGATGCAACATGGAGACAGGGGCCAACATGAGAACATGGGAGGGCTCGGTTTTGCTTCGTAACTTAGGGTGATGTCTTTCATTTCCCTATGGGTCAATCCCCTTCTGTTGATGCTGTGGACCCGACCTCCGACGAAGCGGTGCACACGGAGGTGGTCGGTGGGAGAGCTGCGGAGTGGGAGGTCGGTGCGAACGCAGATCCATGCAGTGGCTGAGTCAGATAGATGGACTACCAACAGAGGTTGAAGGACCCGACTTAGACTATCCCGCAGGTACCCGGGGTCCTATGGTTAGGCCACTCAACCTCTCTTGGTATCTACCAGAAGTCCGGGACTTTCAACCAGAAGTTTGGGACGCCTTCAACCCGCCATGACTGGAAGACCACCCGGTGGTGGAAGAGAGACTTGACCCTCACTTTCGGACGCGTTGTGTCTCCTTGTTTGAACAGTTGGAGGACAAAGCTGGCATCTTGCTAAGGACCATAGATGCTCCAGTGAACCCCCCCGAGTGCTTTGGCCAAAGAAGGTGAACGTGAAGCGGTTGAAGTGAACCATCAACCTGGGACGGGAAGCGAGTGGTGGTTGGAATGTTCGTTTACCCTCCCTGCTACACTCATGAAAGTGGACAATGGCGCTTGGAAAGACCATCTTCCACTACAAACAGGGGGTTGTCCACTTCCATGACTCTTGCAGGGAGTGCAGTCCATGTGTAGGATGAGCTACATGCATGTGACCCACCAGCTGCTGGCCCCAGCATGTTGCAGGGATCTCACTCTTGACGCGCCGCATCGTTCAGCCATTTTGGCTTGGGTTGGGCGACATCGACGTAACATGATCGCTGGGCAGATGATGATCGCTCAAAGAAGCTGATGGACGGTGGTTTTCTTGCCTAGCAGATGGACGGGGAATTCACCTGCTACTGGAGAATTCAACGACTCATGGAGGCCAATTCAGATTTGAGGCTCTGAAAGGGGGTTGGAAAAGACTCAACCATACGGCGGAACATGGCTGAACTAGATGAGTCATTGTCGGTCGACACGACTAGAGAGGATGAGATCTGCAACTCCGGCGGGTCGAAGCGCTTCTGCCCGTCTTCGCTTCAGCGACGGAACAACACATCGCATCCGACAAGAGCCACACATTGCGTCGAATCGATCGGCCAAGGTTTACAACACAACGGCGCCCCGCTCGACCGTTCGAGTCAGCCCCCCCAAACCTCGACCGTTCAACCCACCGTTCACTCCATGCCGGCGGCCCGCCCTTCGCCACCGCGCCGGGGCCCCGCGCTGCGGAACGGGCGGCGCTCCAAGGCTGAGCCTCGGGGTTGGGAGGGTTTGAAGGGATCGAATGGGAGGCCCCCTCGGAACAGCATGTGAGGTTTCATGGCATGGTTATTAGACCTGTATTCGTTGGTGCAACAGGCTGTTGTTTTCCAAGAGTGGGGAGCATTCGGCAGAGAATCGACCGGCGGTTGTTAGTGCCGGGAGGTTGGATCATCTTCAATTCGACCCAATGTTTGATGATCACAGAAACAACATTCAGCAGACAACGACCTGCTATGTAGATGCCTCCATGAATCTTTCCTTATAGACCAGAGGTTTTCCGGTTTTCCGTGTTCCTGTCGCAGAAAGGCACGGTCCCATCTGAATGAAATAAGTTGGTTCTATCCCATCTGGATACCATTTGAGTGGATTGCCCACTTTCTGACAGCATTCCGATCAGCGCCGACTCGTCGGGAAGAACACTAACTCGAGCTGGTTGGGGTTGGGGGACGGTTTGAGACGTCTCCCTATAAAAGCACTTCAGCAATCCTCGTCTTCTACACGTTCTGCTTATCACGTCCGTAGGCCGATGATTATAGCGATGCCTACAGTGACTACTACAGCGACGAGTGCGCCGGGGCGTCCAAAAGGAACCACTCCCGGAAAGCTGCCCAAACGGAAAGCCCTGGGACCCAGCACGACTACGAGTGTCTATGTCATGCTATGTCTGTCTATTGCCGTTCGGTTTCCAGTCAGACTCGAAGCATTGGCTTACCCTGTCGGTGGCCACTCGGCCGCCGTCGGGGAAGGTGACTCCTCAGGCTTGAACCCCCTGGGCCACCTCTGGGAGCGACGGATGGGAGCGCTTTCAGAGCAGAATCCAGATGGAAGCGAGAGAGACGGAGAAGCTGGGCTTCGATTTAGGCAAAGACTTCTGGTTTTTGTGTGTAGAACAACTTCTACTGGCCGCGGGTCAAAGCCAAATCCCAAAGCGGGTAGGTTGACCGACTATGAGGTAGTTATATAGCTTATTCTGTTCATGATCAGTGGTCAAGCAGGGTCCCCACAACTCTCGACTTTTCGCAGCGGCGGAACCCGCCGCTGAGCGCGGCGAGATCGGTGCCGCTGGGGAGTGTCCGTCCCAGGTACACCCGATCAGGACGCAGTTCCAGCGTCTCGAGCAGGAGCAAAGTGCACATCGGGACAGGTCTGGGATGAAGAGGTTCGTCCGGCTAGCCCTCCCAGCCACGGGTTGAATCATCCCAACAAACCATTGTGTTAACGAAGGAGCTTGAAGGCTAAGAAAAGGCAAGAGCACTGAGCACTTCAAGAGAAACCGCTCATCGATTGGCTGCGTCGAGCAACTCACTTATAGATGACCAGTGCCAGAAGCAAATTGACATTTGAGGTCTATTTGCAGACCCCGCCAGTATTGGAGATAGCCCATCACCGGCCGAGGGTCCCTCATGCCAGCCTGGTAGAATTGGAAATCCTGCAAAGATATGTTGGGCTTACTGTTCCCTTGGCAAGAGCACCACAAAGACACCGAACATGGTATAGCTGGCAAATGGAACGATCCACTCGGAAGAGGAAAACACATGTGTGCTACCAAGCGCTTTTGTTGGGTCACACTTCTCATGTGTTCTCAGACTCCTTTGACATCTCTGAAGCAACACGTGCTGAGTGTGCTCAGACTCGGATCCTCAAGCCACAGAGGAAGGACTCGTAAGAATTCACCCAGCGATCTGCAGGGCTTTCTCGAAAACATGGTGCGGTTGCACACGGAAAAGGCGAAAGAAACATCTTGTGACAGTTGAGAGCTTGAAACATCATGCACATTTATGAAACAACTATTGACAACTAGACTGGCAACAACCTGTTGGTTTACATTCCTATTCACAGTGAGATCCGGGCATCACGGATTTCACCCACACCTGTGATCTGCCCAACCGCCCGCCGCGGGTCCTCACACCTGGGGGTCCTTCAACCGCAGCCCGCGGGCAGGACCTTCAGCATTGGTGGGGGAGCCCGTACGACGGACCAGGACGGATTTTTGAATGAACACGATCATTAGGTCGTTTGGATGGAGGTGACCGATGGGGTGTGTATTTCTTTGCGCCATTACACTTCGGGGTGTTTTACTTGTGCCTATCTACTCTCAACATCTACTAGTTACTAATTACTGGTAACAAGAAGCTACTAGTAGCTAAGGTGCATCGCTACTAGGCTGTCTTCTCTCGTTGATCGACTCCTTGCACGGTCGCCATCGGCTTCGGTCGGGGGGCTGGAAGTTTTTGGTCACGGCTCATGTCGATCGACCGAAGTGGGCTAGCAGCTTTAGCGTCCGAGAAGCCTGGTTTTAGGCCGTTTGGAGCTTTTGGAGCGTTGAGCTCAGCGTTTGGAGTCCAGTCCCCACCAACAAGACTGGCCAGGCAGACGTGCAATGTTGACGTCCTTTGACTGTTGATGCATATATATATATATATGTATTTTAAAACTCTCCCAGGACTGGAGATGTTTGACCCAGGTACCGTGGGTTTGATTGATCAACCGTCAACCCCTTCCAATGACATATTTTACTGTCATAATCCAACACTACCACGCACGCATGGGGTAGAATGACATGGTTTTGTGCCAGCGGCTAAGTAAACTCTTGGGGAACCAACAGCTACAGGCCAGAAGCGACTCCAACATACCAAGAGAGGTTGAGTGACCTGAACTAGAACCCCACTGGGTACCTGCGCGGGATAGTCTAAGTCGGGTCCTTCAACCTCTGTAAAGGGGGTCCTTCTTGGACGTGTCCCGCCAAAGGACGGATCCCTAGCGCTCCTTCACCAAGGGTTTTGGACGAACCGAACTCTCTCTGAATGGTCTTGGAAGGTTAAGGTGATGGAACCTTACGTGAACCACCCTCCATGTCTTATATATTTTAGGGAACGACGCAATCTGGGTGGCCCTAGAGTTCCAATGGGTCGCGAGCCATGAACTCTTTTCTCAACTACTCTCCCATGATGGAGGTTCGCCGTGGAGGACACCCCAGCAAGGTTCTCCAACTGGAGCTTCCAAAAGGGCCACCTCCACGGCCCTTCTCCCCGCCATCCAAAAGCGCTCTGGATCTCCGGAACCTGGACCTCTCGGCTGCCCGGACCTCTCGGCTCGCAGCACCGTAGAGGGAGGGGCGCTTCAGATCCGAAGACAGTGAAGAGCCGAGAAACTCAGGACCTTCGCCGTACATCGTTCTGCACACATTAACAGCCCGTTTCCGGGTGAGCTGTTTTCGCCAATCGTTGGTGCCTGGCGACGAAGCAGCGATCCCTATGGGACAAACCTGTCGATTCGACTGAAATTCCTTGGGCCCCTTCTGAAGTCCAGGAAGCTCCATTTTGAGACTTCAATGGATCTTTGCAGGCCATTTTGTAGTCTCAAAATGGACCGAGACTACCAAACATGGAGGGAGACTCCGGCGGACCGATTTCGGGGGTGACTCAGACTGAGACCGAAAGACAAGACTTATACTATAGACAGTTGAGCCCGGATCACCCACTCGGTCCTCCGGGCTCGGGTCTAAGAGTCCGTGGCTCCACGTGTCTCCCTTTCCATTGGAAGCTACTAAGGGTGGAGGCCATTACCACTACTAGCTAGAAGCGCTACTAGGCTGGAGGCCTTCTCAGTGAAATCACACGAAGTCACTGAAGAGCTACTAGTAGCGTGCGAACGCTACTAGGTGGAGGCCATCGCAAGTAGGTTGGAGGCCATCGCTACTAGTAACAAGAAGCTACTAGTAACAAAGGGGATACACACACCTCATACCAGCCTTTGGCAAAACGAATCCACAGGTGCCCGCGGAAGACTCTTGTTACCTGGTTGGCCAATGGATTTCGGCACCAAACGCTTGATCGATCGGCTTTGTTTCGTTCGTCGAACGAACCCCGCCCCGCGCGGGTGTCCGTCTTCGTGTCAACGAAGCCCGTCGTCGCCGGTGCGAGGAAGGATGATGGCCCAGCCAAGACCAATCCGTATCGCAGAACTCCTGGGCAGCCAGGCGGGGTGCATTCGCATCTTCCAGCACCAGAGCACTGAGATCCACTGGCAGAGGGAAAAGGGTGAAGAAAATATCCCTTGAGCCTGGAAGAAGAGAGGCTTGTGCTTGGTCCCATCGGCGACATCCCCCCCTCTTGTGATGGAATTAAGTCGAATCATGTAATTGTAAAGAGACACGCATCAAAGGAGAGACCAGCAGTTCCAAAGGGGTGACCTATTGGAGGATAGAGGTGCCACCCATGATTCACTCACTTGGGGACTAAAAACCACTTCTTTGGAACTCCTGGTTCAGTCTTTTTGGTGCTTTCTGCGGGGGTCTGCCTAAGAACCCACAGCTCGCCCGCTGCCGCAGGTGCACCCCGTGGGGATGGAGAAAGGTCCATCGGACTTCGAGGTCGATTACTTGGCGCCAAAGAAGGCGTGAATGGACGTGATGGATTTGAACGGCAAGACTCTTTGTTTTTTTCTCGCGGAAAAAAGAAGACCGAGGACCGCACTCGAAGGGAGCAAAACCAATCCGACACAGGTGATTTTAGATAGGGCTTGGCCAAAAAGGGTCTTTGGCATCTGAATCAGGAGTTCTGGCGGGGCGGTGATGAATGAGGTGGACTACAAAGGAGTTGGCAGGAGCCTATACTCCTATCGACGCATTTGGTCGAAAGCTTGGAGGATCATGAGCTTGCTGGGACTGGGAACCCGATGTAGATAGGTAGGACGGGCATCAAACAAAGCTGTTTTGGGCGAACTCTGAATCCGTTTATTGGATTATGTGAAGGGTTGCCCTTTCTGGGCATCAACCCATAACAATCCCACTCCCTGAGGTGTCTCAAGAGTCACGAGTGTTTTTAGACCCATACAACATTAAAAATCCTTGAAGTAGTGGAAGCTGACTTGCATCTTTCCTAGAGTCAGCGTGTCTCGTCGCGCTCGTCGACACGTCAACGGTGGATGAATAGCACCCCTGGGTCTGGCTCCAGGCGGATCTCGGATCGGCGTCGACTTATCCATTTTGACGGGTGATCAAAAACATGGAAACCTCACTTATGATATCGGGTCTGCCCTATTACCTGTAACAGTCAGTAAACAATTATTACGATTTTTGAACAAGGCCTTTACTAACCATCATCATCCACTGTTACAGATATTAGGATAGACCATAGTTATAAGTTAATAAGTGAAACCCATGAAAGCGGGTTTTCCCTTTTTTTCCTCCTTCGAACCACTGAAACCAGAGAGTCGTTCTTCACCGACAGGTCTTGCCCTCCGTTGGCTCGGTGTTGCATGGCCGTGGCTGCAAGCCCTGCGCGTGGTTTTGGAAAGCGCCACTCGTCCGACGCGTTGCGTAGTCGGGACGCAAAACGGGCCTGGCTGGGGAGGATGGCTGGGGTGGCCCTTACCAGATGCAGTTTCATTCCGAATCGAAGAATCATAGAATCGAACCAGACACTCTCTTCCAAGAAGCACCCTGCAAGGGCAGCTTTCACTTTTTCATTTGCCTGCAACCGTAGCCACCAACCGGTCAGGTAACTTGTATCTTGGGCCCGCCCAGGCAGGGATGCAAGAATGGCCGCGAGTGCCTCCACTGCCACCTTTGCACATCCAAAGAGGCACGGAATCTGCTCTGAATCCACCTGTGTGGGTTTGTTCACCGTAGGATTTCGGACGGCCGAGCATTAACCCTCCCACGATTTGGTCAAGAGGGGTCCAGATCCCAAAGGAACGTACCTCAATCAGCTCCAAGATATCTGCTGTCCCAAAACAGCTGCAAGCATCAACCAGCCAACAAGATAAAGGATGGTTAAAGGTCATGGGGTAACCAGAGCAAAAGGCACATGCAAAACTATGGATTGTTGATGCGCTGTGCAGGATGAATGTCTTCATTTTGGTTTTGGGTCGCTCAGGACGGGGTAGACTGGCCGTTGGATTGTTGAAGTTTGAGACCATCCGTCCATCAAAGGAACATTAATGCGAAAATGCAGCCTGTGCGAAGGGCTTTTGGCCAGATTTAGTATTTAGTCTGCCTCAGGGTCAAAGAAACGCTGGGGAATTCTTGGTGTTTCATGGTGTTGCTTGGATTATTCTTTTTCTTTCGGGGCCTCCGTGTCGGATTTCATGTTTTACCATATCAAACCTCTCCAGATGGCGAAGGGCCGTTTGATGGGGGTGCCACCTTTTCTTGCTCCAGATTAGGAGACCCTCAAGCATCCACTGGGCTTTGAATTGGAACTCTAACTCTAACGGGCGGGTCTGCAGGCATACTAGGACCAGGACTAAGAGTTCGTACTACGAACGTACTAGGAATCCGACCAGCACCACCCGCTATTTTTTTGTTTGGCTTCTTTGGATGGATGGTCCCATATGCGTCATGTCGTAAAATAGGGAGACCTCCCAGTTCAACTCCCCTCACGTTCGCTTCGGACATGATCGATCCAAACCCCCCTTTGGGGCGTGGGTCGACCCTCTTGGGTCTACACCCCCCCCATCGTCTACTGCAGAGCCATGTCTACCTACCCATCCGACCCGGACCGGCCCGGACCAGCCCGGACCCGCAAGGCCCGGAACCGCAAGAAGCAGATGGCGCTGGTGAAACGCCTGGGTGTGTGTCCACGTCCACCACCAGGCGTGAAGGAAGAGCGCAAAGCTGGTGGAAAACGTCCGGAGGGTGAGTCAAGGACCTGTGGACATGGAGGTCTTTTGAGGTCCAGTTATTGACTATATGATCAGTGGGTCAGGGTACTTACACCACCCCAAGCATCCGAAGGGGCGCGTCTTTCGGAGCCTTGGACCCGGGGTCCAGACTCTCAAAACCCGATGTGTTTGAAGGCCCGGATCATTCGGCTAAGAGTTTAGTTTTTGCCATGAACACAGTGGGTCAGGGTACTTGCCGCATGGCACATCATGGCACATCACCTCGCGGTCAGAGGAAAACGGGACGACGCGGTCGCTCGAGCGCGGCGGGTTCCGCTGAACTCACAGA